TTAAAATACCATTTTCATAAATAAGTTATCAAGTTTTATTATACAAAAATCAGATATTCATTTTATTATTATCGATTAACATTTTAATAATAATAATAATAATAATAATAATAATAATAATAATAATAATAATACAAACCCCAATCTCTCTCTCTCTCTCGTGCCGGTGCAACAGCACCGTGAGCAAGCACGGTGATCTGGCACCGCAACGTCGGCAGATGGGCACCACATGAAGCAGCGCTAAGCTCTTGCACCGCAACGACGATCATCTGTTGTACGGCAATCAGCGGAGCAACACTGTAGCGATGCTCGGAACTAAAGCTGCAGCGACGAGCACTACATTGTAGCAGTGATTACAGTGTCGTTGTATAGTGCTTAGATTACTGTGACAATGACGCTTGCTGTGATTTTGGGGGATGGTTTCTTCCCATTTCGATATGTTGTTTAGCCGGTGATTTGGGGGTGATTTTTATTGGTTCTTGATGGTGTTTTGCTAATGGGGGCGCTGGTGGTGGTGGTGGCAATGGTGGTTGNATGGTGTTTTGCAAATGGGGGCGCATGTTGTGGTGGTTGTGGCAATGATGGTTGTGATAGTGATGTGGTCCGGCGATTGTGGTTCACAAATGGTGAGAGTGGCTCGACGTTCTATTGGTGGTAGTGGTGGTCCAGTTTTTTAGTGGTGTTTGGGTGGTGGTGGTTGTAATGTTGACAAGTTTGGTGCAGTGGTGGTGGTGAAAATGTTGGCTGCAATGTTTGAAATTGTAATTTTGTTGCTGGGAAGTGGTTGCGATGGTCGTGTTGGTGTTGGCGACAGTGGTGCGTTTCTGTGGTGTTGCGACGATGGTGCATTTCTATGGTGTTGGTGGTGTTAGTGTTGGCAGCGAAGATGACGGTGATGTTGTGTTGGTGGTGGTCACAAATGATTTGTTGATTGTGACCAATAAATTGTTTGGTGTGTGACCAATGAAGAATAAATTATGACCAATAAATACTGCGTGACCTACACATTTATTAATTTGTGACCTATGATTTGATGTTTTGTGACCATAAAATAAGTTGTGACTTATAAATTTTATAATTTGTGACCGATGAACAAATTGTGACTTTTAAATTTTTAATTTGTGATCGATGAACGAACTGTAACATATAAAATATTTGATTGTGACCTTAAAATTTTTGAATTGTGACCAAATTGCATAGTTATATGACATTTATATATTTATTGATAAAATATATAATTGATTAATTAATTTATAAATAAATTTTAAAGAAAACCTGATTTTTGAAATTTAAAACCTCAATCCTAAATTTTGAAATGCTCATATTTAAAAACTTGATTTATGTATTGTTCCCTAAAAGAAATCATATAGGGCCCTATGCATAAAACCCTCAAATCATTAAAAGGCACATATTCAAGGGAATGCCCACTCATGAATTTTATTATTGATCTATTGGGAATGATCCCCACAAGTTGTGCAACAAATTTTCACTTGTCCGCAATCTTTATTTTAACTAGATTTTTGGAAAAAAAAAAAAATTCCTAGTGTGTGTATGACAGGGAAATCATGGTATCATTAAGGGCTTTTAAAAAAGCAATTACAATATTTAGCTAAAAAATTAATAAAAATTTAAATTAAAGTTAATAATTAATTTTAATTTCATAATTCATAATTTTTATCAATTATCAACTACAACTTTTTATCAACTTTTATCAAAATTTACCTAAAAAATTGATTTTTAGCAAAATCAAACAAGAACTACGTGTTTTTTTTTTTGGTTCTTTTCATTTTAGAAAAATCTCGAAGCCACATTATCATACAACTAATGCTTTTATATACACCTGTATAGAACATACACATGCTAAGTGTGAGTGTGACGTCAAATAACATCTAATTATTCCAAGTAATTTCGGTAATATACAGATATGATGATAGTAAAGTTACTTTTCAATTTAGAGAATCCGATTTTTATAACTTTCCATTAAAGTTGATTATTTAGGTCGTTCAAATGATAGTTTTTGCTAGTATTTGTTTTGTAAGAAGTGTCTTTGGATCGTACTTTGGACTAAATATACTTTACATTTATGCTAGTTGTACATTCAAAGTGTACATTAAGTTTGACACTGTGTGATGTATAAAAATTTGTGTCGTTAGTTGTTTAAAGCATTATTAAAATCAATGTATAAAAAGTGATCATCTCATAATAATGTCAAACTTAAAGTTGATGTACATATAGCAAGATTGTTTTACAATTATTCGTTAATAATAATCTGGATCTTATAGAGGGATGTGATGGTGTCAACATAGTTGAAATGTACCGTAAATTTCACACAAGATAGCTCAATTTCATTTTAATAAAAATCATATACAGTCCTACGAATTAGCTATTTAGCCTTCATTTGATAAAATTTATGAGTTATTTTCATCTATTTATAATTTAAACTATTTATAAATTCTTTGTAACCGGAGGCTCAGATGGCATACAAAACTTGCAATGAAAGTGCGCATACTCCATCTTGGCCATGAAATGACATTTTCCTGTTATTGTATTTTGTATGAATGATGTCTATGTGACAGGGAAGAAATTAGAGAACAAATCGGTTGGCATATATTTGGATTCACGAGTCAACTTTAAGAACAGAGCGAGGAGAGCTTACTTGTGAACATGAACAATTGGAAAGGCCTCACAAGTACGTAAATAATAAAATTAAGCCCCTGTTTTGTGGGGATTAAAATAAATTTTTTAATAGAGTTCGATAAAAATTGATAAAATGTGTAGTTAAAAAGTTGTTGATTCCATGAAATATATGATTAAAATTAATTGTTGATTTTGATTTAAATTAAAATTTATATTTTAAATTCTACCAAACATGAGCGAAATAATGTAATCAACAAATTTTATTTATTTTTTTACCTTAATATTGTCAAATGCGGCCTTTCGATCGTACTAATCGATAAATCATAAAATAATGTGTTCTTCACATGAGAAGAAATTTATATAATACACTTCAAGAAAGATAGCAATCCCTACTTCTGAGAAAGAATTGCGCCAAACTAAATTTTTTTATCTAAAAATCATTTCTAAATACGCTTTTCCTTATTCATGTGAAAAAAATCACATTACCTGCAAGTTATGTTAGAGGGTATTTGGTGGGGATTAAAATCACATTAGTAGATTGTGATAGAAATTTTTGAAATGTGTAGTTGAAAAGTTGTGGGACCCATGAAAAATGTAGTTAATATTGATTGTTTGACTTTGACTTGAATTAAAATTAGATTTTAATCTGAACGAAACATAGGCTAAATCTCTTTCTTGATATGCAAAAATGACAAAATATTGTCAACTTGTTAGAAAACAAAAATCTTATGTATCTAAAATATCGTTTATCTATAGCATCCATTTCATAATATGATTTCCACTGACTCATTATATATTCTCTCTTTTAATTAGCTCGTATGCGCTAGAAAAACAAACACATGGTGCACAATTTGTAAGTGGGATTTGGTGGGAGGAGAATATATTTGGGACATATATACCAATAGAGGAAATATGGAGTACCAAATAAGGTAAAGGAAAAAGAAAACAAAGAGGAGAATTGCTTTCAAACAATGATTGGCACATGATATGAATAGATGGTCCATGTCTATCTTCTTGTTTATCCTTTCTTTCCTTCTCCATTTGGCAACAATTCCAGCAAAAAATTTGTAACATGATTGTGTCATGTAAGAGATATTGGTCCCGCTAAAGGATAAAATTTCAAGAATAATGTTACTT